CATAGGAATAGAACTTATATAGGAACTACTGGCATGGTCTTACAGAAGCAGTCTCTGCCTTTGCTATTCCATGACCTTCTCTGGGCTTCCTCTGACTATGTTCTATTTTTTTATACAGACATTAGTCATAGGATGAGGACCCACCTTAATCTGGTATGACCTCACTTGAACTTGATTGCCTTTGCAAAGACCCTTTTTCCAAATAAGGTCACATTCAGTTTGGAGGTGAGACCTTCAACATACCTCTTTGGGAAACATAATGCAACCCATAATACTAACCACGAATTAGAGGCCTCATCTTGGGTACAATTGTCTCCACTACAATAATTAAGTTGCTGTTTTGTCTGGTTCTTTAGAAACATTTCTTCACAACGTTAATCCTTTGTGGAAATGTAGGAAATATGATGTTATGTTTAATAAAATTCTTTAAGGAGTAGAATTTTTAAACATACAATATATGCCTAGAAGAGATAAAATAAGTTTATCATGTTCCTGCCATGGTCCCTAATGAGTAATAACTTTCCTAGATGTTTGTTGAATGCATAAATGAATAAATCAGAATTAATATTAAACTCTACTTAGCATAATTTAATTTTTCTTTGATAATTCCAAACAATTTCTTCAGGTAAAATGTAGCAAAGTACTAGTTAAGAAATAACCACTTGCTTGTACTCTGAATGACCTCACATCTTTCTGTCCAAAGAAACTCAAAAGTGAAAGTGTTCTCTGTCTTGGGTTACAGCCCTTCATTTCTATTGACTCCCCCATTTATTACATATTATTTTCTTTAGCTTAATTTAAATTACTTTATTGATTGGTGAACAACAAGGTTTCTCCACCTAGAAAATTGCCTATTTAAACCTGCACCAGGATTTTCTGTCCTCCAATCTATTTTTATCGTTCTTCACAGTCACTGAGTGTATTTTGATTTCGGTGATATTATTTGAGTAATGGCTCTTTCCATTTCCCTTTAATGCAATACACAAAGAATTAAAATCCAAAACAAGAAACAAATTACAATATAACTCATACATTACACATAAAAGCAGTTCCCTCAATCTTAAAACTGTGTATTATCTCTGCATGACGTCAGAAGGGTTTGAGAATGGAACTTTAAAAAGTTCCATTGAGGAAGACATTTGAAGGCAAAGACAAAGACATAAATGCCAAAACTCTAATTGAGAAAGTCCCTGGCTACTATTTATCAAGCTGCTACTGTTTTCCATTTTTACAGTTCTTTTCCTGACACATATTCAATTATTTGCTAATCAAACCTACCATTAAAGCCAAAAATTTCTCCTGAAAACATGATTTGGATATCAAAATATTTAAACTAACTAAAGTGAGTTTATTTTTTCTTTAAAAAGAGGGAAAAGAAAGCTATCGCTCATGGAAGAAAAATTTAATCTTTTAGTCACATTTATTTCACTCATTTTCTCTGTAGAAGATTTCCAGTTGTGTTTTTCAATCATTATATGCTTGTATTGATAGAAAATCAGCAGGTATCACCACCAGTTATTATAGTCATCTGCTAAGAGAAACTAAGCAAGCCAGTGTTTGGAGCCAGTTTCCTGAGCACAATGAGAAGAGGCAGATTCTAATCAGTTATCTTCTGACACTGTTCCCGTTGAGTTACATCAGTGGTACTTGACATTATAAAATGTCCTTTTCTTTCAAATATAACCTTCTGTCCTCATTAGTAAATGTCAAATGTAATGAAGTGTTTTTCTGACTTATTTTCTTCCTGATATAATGGAAGAAAATACTAATGAGTTTGAAATCCAGAAATTGTTTTCAGAATCCCAAACCAATAGAGTCAACTTGATGTCTGTTTATTAGATTAGTTTTATTCTTTATATTTTCATTTAATTTGGAAGGAATTTTCCTCCTTATATTTCTTATTACCTTTTCCCTACTTGGTATAATTTCTTATTCTCCCTGAGAGAAGTAGGTGACAAATACCTCCAATTAGATTGTGTTTCTGAGTTCAAATCAGAATGATGTTGATGATCAGGCCTCTTGCTGTGAGCTAAGTACTTTCTAAAAGCTTGTGTATATTTTTCTTGAAAGCTGTTCCCTTACTTAGCCCTCCCCACCTTTTTTTAATTTTGATATAATAGCTGACCAACCCTGTGGTTTCTAGCAGCTTCCCATAACATTTCAATCACAATATAATGGAGCCTTGATTTCTTTCTGCTTTCTCAAAGATTGAACACACCCACAATGTGATATTGATACATTTTGTAACATTAGAAGAAGTTTTTTTTACTGTCACAATAAAGTCAACATCTTATGAAAAGGGGACACCCTGGAAAAGGTCAGGAAGAAAGAAAGAAAGCCACAGTTTTCCAACACATTATTCAGTGTCTGTGTTTGAAAACATGCTTGACAGGAAGGGTCTAGGTCACCTTTAGCAGCGTCTGCAGTGCGTTAGCTGTGTCCTCTACTGAGAAATCAGTGGAAAGCTGTTTGTATAGAGAAGGCAGTAGGCATGGAGACTGTGCCCCTGTTACTCAGTCAATGACCAGAAGATATTTGACCAAGAGGAAAGCCATTTAAAGTTACTTCACAGGAGGTGAAATTAGAAAAAAAATTACAAAAATAAGAAGATTATAGATAATATGTTCTAGAAAATAGTAATCCAAGCCAAATGTGGGGAAATTTTTAAGTAGACTGACTGGTTTATAAGGGATTCTGTTCCCTAGAAAAGAAAAACATATTGCAAAATCTCTTGATTATACTTGGTTTTTTGAAATGCAGCCTTTGGGAATTTGGTTTTGGTATATTATCCACATTCTCTTTTTAGTAAAGTAAATTTGCTGTTAACCAGATTAAATTTAATGAATACAAATATCCAGAGAATCATGACTGAAAACATACAGATAAGCTTAATATCAGCTTCTTTCTGCCTTGTGTTTGGCCCAATTATATGGAGTATGTCATCTCTACCATCTGTATTTTCATCTTTATTATTTGTAAAACAGTAAGCAAAGTACAATAAAATATTCAAATAATTGCCAGGTAATTTCTATTGTATTGGAATGTAATTTGGATGCATTGCATTTCTACTATTATGGTAGATACAGGACTATCACCACAGCTTATTATCGTGGGGCCATGGGCTTTATTTTAATGAACTCTATTTACTAATTACCATTTATGTGACTGTTTATAAATAATTTTTACATTAGAATATTTAATATTTCTCCTTGAATTCTGATACCACTTTACATATTAAAGATCTTAACCTTTGCTGTCTCTGAAATAATATAAACCTATTTCTCAATTTATCATTTGATTTACTATCACCTCAATTTTATAATGTTATGCATTTTCAAATGTTATAACATTTTTTATATTCAGGAATTTTTAAGTACTGAAATCTATCTTTTCTTTTTACGTTCTGCCATTGGAAGTATGTTCCAAAAGATCTTCCCCACTAATTTTGCTTTGTTTCTGCTGTTTTGGTAGAGTGATTTGTTCTCATCCTACTTTTGAAACCTTGTTTTTCTTTAATACTGCGTAACAAAAATCTTATAATTAGCCCAGACTTATCCTTGCTCCAAGAGTAGAATATAATTATTGTTGGCTTCATGGAAATCCACACTGATGGCTAATTTTGAGTCCCATTTCATACCCCATATTCTCTATAATCATTCACTGGTCCTCAACATCCTTGATCATCTTTCTCTAAACTTAAAAGATTCTAATAGGATATGTCACACACGTGAGAAGTAGTGAATGGTTATGCATTTTGCCCTTTTGCCATGGTGGGGTGGAAGCAGCCAAGCAGGAGAGTGACTATGGGGGAGCAGCCCGATATCCAACATGAGCAGCTACCAATAATGACTCTATGAGACTTATTTCATTCTGATGGGAAATATTAGCTCTCCCTTCAAGGCCTATTAGATCTTAGAGGGAGCTGGAATGCACTTTGCATACAGAAGAGACATCTTGGGAATAAGGGGAGAAAGAGGATCCAGGCTGACATCAGAAAGAAAGATAACATTTTGTCCAAAATGCTAAGCACCTAAAGAGAACTAGGAAAGAGAAGTTAGACCTGAGTCTCCAGGGGAAGTGACAAAGGGGAAAACCAAAGAGCATTCAGATTCTGAATGATATCTTAGATTCTGAGGGAACAAAGAGGCGAGAGTTGATTGAATTGAGGAAACATTTCTTCAGCTACAATATATGTGATATATATACTGGCCATTTTCATAACAAGTCTGCCTCTGATTCCAAGATATAAATGTTACAACTCTCTTGTCGACATGCAACCCCTGTATGTGTAAGCTGCTCTCTTTTATCTTGGGTTAGCCAGCCTCCCCACATCTCAGGAATGACAGCCAGTACTTGACATTTATTAACCACTGTTTGTGTAGGAACCACTATACATGAATTAGTTCCTGTAACCTTGACTTGCATTCTAAAACTTAGAGGGGTTCAGTTTATAGAGGTTCAGAAACTTGATCATGTTTCCTTAGCTATCAAATGCAAGAGCAGGAACTCAAACTCAGCTGTCTGACTCAAAATCCACTCACAGCATGTATCTTTATTCTCATTTTATTGTTGAATAATGTCAGCACAGACATTTTTATAAATTTCCTTTGTTTTTGAACAGTGGCTTGCATTAGTGTACAGACAATAAACAATATAGGAAGGATCTAATATATTCCTCTGGTTTTAAACTAAAGATCCACAAATTTTAGACGTATATAGTTTCCATTTTTATTTCCTATAGTTAGATGCTGCTTAATGGAAATGAACATATGAAGTAGACACCTTGAGCTACATCTTTCCCCCAAAAAGAATTTTTCAGAGTATTGCCTAGTTATCATGAAAATCTTTAGGAAAAACAAGACTGTAAAAACAGTTTTACATTGTATATACATTTCTGATTCTCTGTTATGATGGTTTGTGAAACTATTAATCATTTCCAAAAACTATCTTGCCTTATTTCTGAGAGATTGTCATTGTTTGTTTTTTTTTTTTTTTTTTAGGACACAGCTGGCCAGGAAAGATACAGGACTATCACCACAGCTTATTATCGTGGGGCCATGGGCTTTATTTTGATGTATGACATCACAAATGAAGAGTCCTTCAATGCAGTGCAAGATTGGTAAGTTAGAGCAAATATTGCCATTACTAATAAGAGTAGTTTTCCATTCAGTTCTCTCTTCCTCCCCAAAGCAATGACCACACTGCAATGTAATATGTGTGTTTATTATACACTGCAATCCCACTGTGCTTTATAAGACAGAGAAATGATGGTTGTGCTCAGAACCATTATCAAGAGATTGGTAAGAAGTCATTTTAGTGATTTTTCTTCCTTTTTGTTCATTTCAGGGTTTCACATCCTGTCATACTTATTTCTGTGGAGGCTAGTGCAGTGCTTTTGTTTTGAAAAATAAGTAATGGCTTGGAAATTTGCAGTTCGAAAATAGGGATCTATAAACAGTGGCCCTCAGGCGAAATCTGGCCCACCACTTGCTATGTAAATAAAGTTTTATTGAAACACAGCCAGGCTCATTTGTTTATTGTCTATGATGCAACAGCAGAGTGAAGTAGCTGTGATAGAAATCATATGGCATGTGAAGCCTACAGCACTTTCTATCTGGCCATTTACAGAAAAAGTTTGCCAACTTGTTGTCTAGAAGATTTTTAATTAGGTTATTCATACTGAAAAGTTTCAAAGGACCAAGGTAAGGGGAAAGGCAAAATCTAAACCTTCTTGATTTATGGCTGTGTCTAGCCTGATAATACTCTGTCCTCAGTGAATGTGATTTACTGCAGGGGTTTCTGAAACAGCTACAAATTCCTTTACCCTGTCCCAGCAGCCCCTCAGGAGGGGACAGAGTAGCCAAGGAGAATGAATGATCATTAATTCCTGCATCATAGATGAAAAGGGCTGTTTTTCTCTGGAAAGAGTCAGAGTCTAATTCAGGCTTTGTGTGCTACTAGATGGGAAAATGGAGCTCTCACTGGTTATGACCAGGACTGAGGAAACTGACTCTACATTTTGACTCTAAATAGTCACAGTTCATCTTATGTAAGGGGCATTAGATTGGGCAATGGACAAGCAAAACAAACAGTGTTCCTGCTTTGTAGTTGTTTTTGTTTTCTCTGATGATATTACCTAAAATGATTTTTTTGTACATACTTATCAGCTCAGTAGGGTCAGATGTTATTACAAACTTCAATTTGCTTTAGGTTATTTATTTTAAATGCTAATTTTCTTCTGGGAAGGCACATCTTTCTTATTTATACACTTTCACAATTAAAATGTATGGAATAATACCACTGACAATAAAAAATAAAAAAAGAAATGCAGTTATAAATTGAAAAAAAAAACAAGATTAGGACCTATATGAAAAATAATTATATTGCACTGGGGGACATGTAAGAACACTAAAATTTCTTTATTGTAGACTGAATATTGTAAAAATGTTAGTTCTCCTCAAATTAATGCAGAAATTCAAGACAATTCCAATTCCAAACCAGCACATTTGGTACAAAATGGAATGAAATAGAAATATTAAAGATATATACACATCTACATGGGAATTTAGTTTCTGATAAAAGTAATATTCAAATTAGTTCCAGAAAGGATTGTTCACTGAATGGTGTTATGGTATCTAGGTAATTGCTGTGCAAAACTGGGACACATATATGTCATGCCAAATGGCAATTTTAAGGGGATGAGTCTCACTGCTGGAAGTTGTTGAGACCCCATGCTCTCAGGCAGGAGATGTTCATGAATAAAGTTTCAGACTTCAAGGTTCCAAATTCTGTTTGCACCCATAGTTTTTCTTGCCCTATTATTTCAATGAATGTTATTTGACTATATATGGAAGGAGACATTGATTTTATTAAAACCAAAGGGCAATAACATCAGGAGCCATGCCACTAATACCCCTGACTCTAGCATAAGAGGAAACATGGAAGTGCTCAGCCTCCTCCTGTCTCCACATGCCTTGCCCTCTGCATCCCCACAATCCAACTTTAACGTGCATGTTTGCTCTTACTTCCTCACATGCCATCAGTCCAATCTTCCCCATCTTGGTCTTCTTACACTTCACATTCTCTATTTAACCCTATTTTACTCCCCTTTTCATTTGAAGCTCTGTTTCCTATCTTTTGAAAGATACATTTTCTAGATTATTCTTGTCTCTCTGTGACAATTCCTCTTTCTTCTTCCAGATTGCATGTCTTCTCTTCAACTGAGAATACATGAGTCCCCATAAGTTTCTTCATGGGTGTATTCTCTGTGTCCTTGACCGACTTATCCATACTTACAACTTCCTTGATTCATCACATGTTTGGTGGTTCCCAAATTTAAATATCTGGCCTCAGTCCATGTGATACCTGCTGTGCTGCATTTCTAGTTACCCAAAATATTTCTCCACCTGGACATCCTGCCAGTGCTCAAAATCATTATCTTCACCTGAAACTGCTCACTTTCCTGACATCATTATTTATGTTCATTACAACCAAATATTTCATACACTCAGGGTTTACCATGAATCCAGCTCTAACTTTCAATCATCTCAGTCTAGGGTCAGGTCATGCATGCTGACGTTTTTCTTATTTCATTTTTGAACCTACTCCTGCCTTTCCTTTTCTTTTTTGACTATCCTTGCTCAATGTCTTACTTTCTTTTGCTTCTCATCACATTAGAACCTTCTAACTGACCTTTCTTGCTTTAGATTTTTTTCTGTCCCAATCCATTCTATCCCCCTGCTAGTGTAAGATTATTTCAAAATAACACAGTCCTAAAGATCATGGAAGACCCCTATCCAAAAGTCACGACTCAACTTGCCTCCTAACGTAATTAAAAATTTCCCTGCCCCATTTCAGATATACCACATCATGATGCCACTATATACGCATAACTTTCTTTCTCACTATTTCAGAGGCAAAGGGAAACATTCATTGTTTCTGGAACCCAGCCCATACTTTCCAGTTTTTATACTTTTTTCTTATGCCACCCTTGGCTTTGCATATATTTTTCTGCAAACTCGTACTCTACTTATCCCAAGATGAAAAGATTTTTCCAAAGTCAACAAAGCCCATCATATAAGACTGCATTTACCTACTCATTTTCTTTTCATCCACAGTTGTCTGATCATTGGTTTATTAGTTTTTTTTTTTTTAAATTTGTTCAGCAAACATTTATTGAGCACCTACTCTTTGAGAGCCAATCTGTTAGGCATCATGTTTGGAACCTATGCCAACATTTACTATCTCAGTTAGTGGACCTACCATCATCCTATTATCTGACATAGAAATTTGAGTCAAGTCTGATTTCTCCCTTTCACCCATCACCTTTCACTAACCACAAGATCCAATCACTTTGGCTTTTTTAGTGCCTCTCAAATCTATTCCTCTCCTTTCTTCCTAGTGCCACTGTCCTAATCCAGACTGTCACATAGGAACTTTTCTTTTTTAAAAATATTTTGGGTACTATTAAGGAATTTGGAGCCCGACCCCACAATATGTAGATCATAGCCAACTTTTCCTTCTATCAGACGCAGTGTCTCTGTTTTTATATCTAGCTCTTTGATCCATTTTGAGTTAACTTTTGTGGCTGGCGAGAGAAA